AGATGCTTTGCTTCCATTCTGTCTAAATTTGGTGGCCTATATATAACTCCTATTATAATATTATTAGCTTTTTCGTTTAATTCTATCCAAATAGTTTCTGTGTGTGGCTCAGTTTTGATTCCCTCTTTGAGACTACATTTCAAATTGTCCCTAACATATATGGCTACTCCACCTCCTCGTCTAATATATCTATCTGTGTGAAATAGTTTAAATCCATTTATTTGATATTCAGCTAATAGTTCTCTATTTTCTACATTCATCCACGTTTCGGTAAGTGCAATAATATCTATTTTTTCTGTGCAGACAAGAGCATTTAATTCGTTAATTTTATTTCTTAGACTTCTACTGTTAGTGTAATATACCCTAAGTGAATTGTTATTTTGAGGCCCTTCTCTTTCCCTGATCATTTTGCCAATTCCTTTCTCCCACAAACACATACTTTTATTACCTCCTTCCTCCAAATCAATTCCCATACCTCTATCTACTAACAGTTTAAACCCAAACAAACACCTCTAACCACTTCTTCCAACGAGTTCGCAACAGCAACAACCCCAGCTCTCGATAGATGCACCCCATCACGAGCATACATTTCATTTCTTCCATAGAAGTGTTCCCAGTTGTCTATGAAAGATATTGCATTTGATTTGCAATATCTTTCCAGCCGGCAATTGACACCAAGTGCCCTCGATATCCATTCATTTCCCACTCCCTTTCTTGGAAGAATGCCACATATGATCGGGATTCCTCCCTTGCTCCTAACTAATTCTATGGCTGTTTTATACCTCTGAATCAGTTCCTCACTCCTAACTCGACCAACATCATTTCCTCCTGCGCTAATGCAAATAATGGGATTGTTCCCATTTCCAGCCATAATATCATTCATGTTTCCAACAATATCACCAATGCCAGCTCCGGGATAGCAAACCCTTAACCTGTTCCCCCTATCTCTAGCACAAAACGTTCTATCCAAATACCTTATCTGGGAATCTCCCACAACTAATGTTTGCTTAGGTACTCCCTTTACTTTCTGAGGGGCCTGCGCTTTAATGCTTTCTCTTTCGTTGTCTTTGCCTTTAACGTTGAACAACAGGTTCAACACAGCACTCGTCCTCTTAAGGCCCCTGGATTTCGATGTGGATTCAATATATAACTTATTTAAGAATATTCTAAACAAAGCACAGGAACGTAGTATACCATACAAATTGAATAGATCGTATACTAATGACAAAGTGGATAACAAAGAATTTGAAGAACCTTATAGGTAAAAAGAGAGCTTGGTACAAAAGGATTAAAAATGGGGAGGTCACTTTAGAACAGGAATTCGTACAACTGGTTAGAAATGTTAAAAAAGAGATAAGGAAAGCAAAAAGAAACTATGAAGTTCGCATAGCAGGGCAAGCAAAGACAAATCCTAAAGGGTTTTTTCAGTTATATCGTACTAAGACTAGGGAAAGGATAGGTCCATTAAAAACTGAGACAGGTCAAATAACAGATAGTGATGAAGAGATGAGTAGTATTTTTAATAAATATTTTGTATCTGTATTTACTAAAGAGGAACTTAACAATATGCCTTCAGCCGAACAAGTCTATGTGGGTGGGGACGAGGACAGGTTGACGAGTTTAGCAGTTACCAGGGAGGATGTTCTTAAACAAATAGTAAAACTCAAACCAAACAAATCCCCAGGGCCGGATGAAGTGTTTGCCAGGGTGCTTAAAGAATGCAAAGAGGAGCTTTGTGACCCACTGTCAACCATATTTAATAAATCAATAGAGTCAGGCAGAGTGCCAGAGTTTTGGAAAGTTGCTAATGTGATACCAGTTTTTAAGAAAGGAGATAGATCACTTGCGTCTAACTATCGACCAATTAGCCTAACGTCTATTGTGGGAAAGTTACTCGAATCTATAATAGCAAATAAAATTCGTCTTCATCTTGAAAAACATAAATTAATAATTGAGTCGCAACATGGTTTTATAAATGGCCGTTCATGTTTAACAAATTTGTTATCTTTTTATTCTAGCATTGTTGAGGCAGTTGATAGTGGTAAGGATTGCGATGTTGTATACCTTGACTTTAGCAAAGCTTTTGATACAGTGCCACATGAAAGACTGATTAAAAAAATAGAGTCTCATGGTATTGGGGGTGCTATATTAAGCTGGATTAGGGCATGGCTATACCAAAGGAAACAGAGAGTTAGTATAAATGGAATCAAGTCAGAGTGGGAAAATGTTGTAAGTGGAGTGCCTCAAGGCTCTGTCCTGGGACCTCTGTTGTTTATAATATATATAAATGATTTAGATTCAGGTTTGAGTAGCAACATTTGCAAATTTGCCGATGATACGAAAATCGGTAGGGAAATTAATTCGGAGGAGGACTCACTATCACTTCAAGTTGATCTAGATAGGGTTTTGAAATGGTCAAAGGATTGGCAGATGCAGTTTAATGCTGATAAATGTAAAGTTCTGAGGTTAGGTAATGATGATAGAGTTACAAGATACGAGCTAGATGGTGTTGTGATTGCGAAGTCGGATTGCGAAAGGGATCTGGGAGTTATGATTAGTAAGAATTTAAAACAAAAGGATCAATGCATAAATGTTCGTAATAAGGCAAATCGGACACTTGGATTTATTAATCGCAGCGTTAGTAACAAGACACCTGGTGTGGTTCTCAAGCTATATCTTGCTCTAGTTAGGCCCCATTTAGATTATGCAGTTCAGTTTTGGTCGCCATATTATAGAATGGATATAAATTCACTTGAACGTGTCCAGCGTAGGATGACTAAGTTAATTCCCCAAATTAGAAATCTTTCATATGAAGAAAGATTAACAAAGCTTAAGTTGCATTCACTGGAAAGGCGAAGAGTTAGGGGTGACATGATAGAGGTTTACAAGTGGATGAATGGACATAACCGGGGGGATATTAATAGGGTATTAAAAGTATCAACACAGGACAGAACACGAAACAATGGATATAAATTGGATAAGTTTAGATTTAGGAAAGACTTGGGTAAATACTGGTTCAGTAACAGGGTTGTTGATTTGTGGAACCAATTGCCGCGTAACATTGTGGAGGTGGGGTCCCTCGATTGTTTCAAGCACGGGTTGGACAAGTATATGAGTGGGATTGGGTGGTTATAGAATAGGAGCTGCCTCGTATGGGCCAATAGGCCTTCTGCAGTTACCTTTGTTCTTATGTTCTTATGTTCTTAGGATGTAATTAAACAATTAGAAAAACTAAAACCAAACAAATCCCCAGGGCCGGATGAAGTGTTTGCCAGGGTGCTTAAAGAATGCAAAGAGGAGCTTTCCGAGCCACTGTCTACCATATTTAATAAATCAATAGAGTCAGGCAGAGTGCCAGAGTCATGGAAGGTAGCTAATGTGGTACCAATTTTTAAGAAAGGAGATAGATCACTTGCGTCAAACTATCGGCCAATTAGCCTAACGTCTATTGTGGGAAAGTTACTTGAATCAATAATTGCAAATACAATTCGTCTCCATCTTGAAAAACATAAATTAATAAATGAGTCGCAACATGGTTTTACAAATGGCCGTTCATGTTTAACAAATTTGCTAACTTTTTATTCCAGCATAGTTGAGGCAGTTGATAGTGGTAAGGATTGTGATGTTGTGTACCTTGACTTTAGCAAAGCTTTTGATACAGTGCCACATGAAAGACTGATTAAAAAGATAGAGTCTCATGGTATTGGGGGTGCTATATTAAGTTGGATTAGGGCATGGCTATTCCAAAGGAAACAGAGAGTTAGTATAAATGGGGTTAAGTCAGAGTGGGATAATGTTGTTAGTGGAGTACCTCAGGGCTCTGTCCTGGGACCTCTGTTGTTTATAATATATATATAAATGATTTAGATTCAGGTTTGAGTAGCAACATTTGCAAATTTGCCGATGATACGAAAATCGGTAGGGAAATTAATTCGGAGGAGGACTCACTATCACTTCAAGTTGATCTAGATAGGGTTTTGAAATGGTCAAAGGATTGGCAAATGCAGTTTAATGCTGATAAATGTAAAGTTCTGAGGCTAGGTAATGATGATAGAGTTACAAGATACGAGCTAGATGGTGTTGAGATTGCGAAGTCGGATTGCGAAAGGGATCTGGGAGTTATGATTAGTAAGAATTTAAAACAAAAGGATCAATGCATGAATGTTCGTAATAAGGCGAATAGGACACTGGGATTTATTAATCGAAGCGTTAGTAACAAGACACCTGGTGTGGTTCTTAAGCTATATCTTGCTCTGGTTAGGCCCCATTAAGATTATGCAGTTCAGTTTTGGTCGCCGTATTATAGAATGGATATAAATTCACTTGAACGTGTCCAACGTAGGATGACTAAGTTAATTCCCCAAATTAGAAATCTTTCATATGAAGAAAGATTAACAAAGCTTAAGTTGCATTCACTGGAAAGGCGAAGAGTTAGGGGTGACATGATAGAGGTTTACAAGTGGATGAATGGACATAACAAAGGGGATATTAATAGGGTATTAAAAGTATCAACACAAGACAGAACACGAAACAATGGGTATAAATTGGATAAGTTTAGATTTAGGAAAGACTTGGGTAAATACTGGTTCAGTAACAGGGTTGTTGATTTGTGGAACCAATTGCCGCGTAACGTGGTGGAGGTGGGGTCCCTCGATTGTTTCAAGCGCGGGTTGGACAAGTATATGAGTGGGATTGGGTGGTTATAGATAGGAGCTGCCTCGTATGGGCCAATAGGCCTTCTGCAGTTACCTTTGTTCTTATGTTCTTATTCTGCCTTCTGAGCAGCCGAGTGCTAGCGGAGCCCCGGCCCACCCCCCGTGATAACGAATATCCCAGTTCACGAAGGACATCAGGCACGTGAAGGGGACTGAGAATGTAGTCGCTGATGCCCTCTCGACCTGGCTATTGTGCACATTTGAGAACCCACATCGACTACACAGAAATTGCTAGAACCCAGTGACAGGACCTGGAACTCTTACAATTTTACACCTCTTCCTCAGTACTTCAGCTCATCTATGGACCTGTGCCTAATTCCGAAGATGCTATACCATATGACGACTCTCATTGGCGTCCTACGGCAATATATGCCAAAGACTCATTGGCAGAGGATCTTCACGGCTCTCCATTCCTTTGGCTCACCTGGGTATCCGAGCTACACTACGCCTTCCTGACCAAACGAATGGTACGGCCAGGAATCAACACTGATGTTCGAAGTTGGGCTTTGAACTGCCTCCAGTGTCTACAATCAAAGATATATCTACACAAAGACGCCTCTTCAGAACTTTCCGTTACCGTTGGCCAGATTTGAAGTAGTGCATGTGGATATCGTCGGTCCATTTCCTCGATCCGGGAAATGCTCGTACCTACTATTGACCTACCTACCATCTGGAGAAGCGTATTGACCGCTTCTCCAGATGGCCCGAGGCAGTTCCCATGGTGGAAATGGGAGGCGAGTCAGTAGCCCTGACTTTCCTTCATGGGTGGGTCTCCCATTTTGTAGCCCCTGCAAAGATTGTCACGGACCAGGGTCGACAATTTTAATCACTTGTGGAAGGAACTCCTGCGGTTCCTTAGTAACATACAACCAAACTACAGCCTACCATCCTCAAGCTAATGGGATGTTTGAACAGTTTCACCGCCATCTGAAGGCGGCTCTAAGGGCAAAATCAGACCCAACTTCATGAAAAAACAACCTTCCATTGGTACACTTCTGCATCCGTTCGTCAACTAAAGAGGACAGTGGGTTCTCAGCGGCTTATCTTGTATATGGTTCCGATCTCCCCCTTCCTGGCGATCCGATCACTCCAACATACAATGAGCTGATGGACACGTCGGCCTTCATGGAGCGACTTTGGAGGGCGATGTCGCAGATTCACCTTATGCCCCTTCGTCACCCATCTACATGCTCTTCCTATATATCCCAGGACGTTCTCACTGTTAGCCATGTGTTTCCAAGGGTTTGACGCGGTGTGTCAGCCGCTACAGCAGCCATATGAGGGATCTTTCCGCGTGCTGTCGAGGACTCCAAAAACCATAACTATCGACTGTCAGGGTGCTGAAGTGGTTGTCTATTAATCAGGTGAAAGCAGCACATTGACCCCACGCCAGCAGTGGTGATCCCAGCTGCTGCTGCTGTGGAGGTCTGTTACCCATACCAACAAACAATCTCTACCAGTAGCAGTCCCTCTTCCTAAAGATGTACCTACCGATTTTTTTCATCTACCGATACCATCTCCAGATCTGAGCCTTCCGGCGCCTGCAGATGACTGCATGAACAACAGTGATGACAACGACAACGTGGAGGGTCACACAGGACGCACAGTGCACCGACCTGCCCGATTCCTGGAGACTGGTACTTCGTCGTCTTGAGAGAGGGAGGGGGTGGAGAGTACTGTAGTGACTTCAGTACCCCCCTACAACATGCGGAGTTAAGGGGGAAAACGGCAGAGGGGCAGAAGAGAAACAACCGACCAGCAGGGGTTATCTTTAGAGTATCTAGAGATGATTTCGGGGCTTAGCGTCCCCGCGGCCCGGTCCTCGACCAGGCCTAATTTTTGTTACACACCCCCAGGAAGAAGCCCGTAGCAGCTAACTCCCAGGTACCCATTTACTGCTAGGTGAACCTATCAGGGTGAAAGAAACTGCCCATTTTTGTTTCCGCCTCCACCCGGGATTGAACCCGGAACCTCAGGACTACAAATCCGAAGCGCTGTCCACTTGGCTGTCAGGCGCCTGATCAGGGGAGATCAACAAGCAGAGAACCACAAGACCAGATGCACTCACACCCTCCTTGGGTTTGTACACTTGTAGAATGTGTGTTGATCAGACTTGTGTTCACTTAATCCTTGTCTGGTGGATATCAGGGCAATAATATGCATTTCGACTGTAAAAATGAGGAGAAAAAATGGGCAACCTATCCATGGTTAGACTTCAGGTATGATAAATTTGTGTAAAGTATGTGCAAACATAAGCAATGTTCTTCACTTTAAGGGTTTAACACTACCAAATGAGTGGCAGATGTTACCAAGTACCCTATTATGGCAACCCGTCCTTAAATAATCTTGCTTTTTGCTCGTATACGCGCCATGACCAAAAATGGACGTAATTTGAAATGAAATTTAATTTAGCAGTCTCCGTGGTGTAGTGGTAAGACACTCGCCTGGCGTTCGGCGAGCGCTATGTCATGGGTTCGTATCCTGGCCGGGGAGGATTTACTGGGCGCAATTCCTTAACTGTAGCCTCTGTTTAACGCAACAGTAAAATGTGTACTTGGATGAAAAAACGATTCTTCGCGGCAGGGGATCGTATTCCAGGGACCATAGGATTAAGGACTTGCCCGAAACGCTACGCGTACTAGTGGCTGTACAAGAATGTAACAACTCTTGTATATATCTCAAAAAAAAAAAAAAAAAAAAAAAAAAAAAAAAAAAAAAAAAAAATCGGCTCACGAAAGTGATTTACTGTCCCGTTTTCTGTTTGAGTCCTCCGACTTACTCGGTAAGGTTAGGAAACTTTCAATTAACATTTTTCCTCGATTTTTTAAACTTTAGGAGAATTTCCTACCCTACTAACCTGCCAAAGGACCCTTAACTTACTGTTGAAACAAACTACGGAAAGCTCACAACGCTGCTTTACGTGTTGAAAATGTAGCTAGTGAAGATGTTCTTGGAAATTTGTGCAATGTCTTTAGATGCAAAGCATTCATGGCACCTAGTTCAATTTTGCGTGCCATATTATTTAGCACAAGAGACATTTGAAATTGGGAAGTTTGGAGGAATACCATATCAAGAAAAGAAAATTGTCTATTATTAACAGTTTGTTACTAGTCTTGTGAACAATTTCCGGCACCGCATGTTCCAGCCCATCCTCCTGTTTTGGTAGTACTTATAGCAACGATGAGGACCATAGTATATACACCGACGTACAACAAAATTAGAACGTAGAAATGTAAACTATTGAGTTGAACCAGAAAACTTTTTTACTTTGACAAACTATAACACATCCTAACTTCCCTAGTACTAATATAGTACATGTGTGCGCGCTATACTAGACCTAGGAGTGTGTGTGTTTTGGCTTCACTAATTTAAAAAAAAAAATCCTTACTAGTCGGTATACTAGTATCTATAATCTAAGAATGTACGAATTCTGACAACGATCGTCCCAATAAGTACTATCTAAACAGGAAGGGTTGGTATGTTCATGACTACAGCCATGAAAGGCTCTTAAGTATTTATAAAGCACTATGTGAAATGTATTCTTAAAAAAAAAAAAAAAAAGACTACTGGCCTGATGAAATACCACCTAATTAGAGAATCCGAAATATTTTCTCCAAGATGTTTAAGGTTTCTTCTTACTCTGCCCTAAATGTCTTTAGAGCAGGCATGCAAACATGCGGCCTTTTGCAAGCACACCAGCAGCCCACACAAAGGACTAATTTAGTATACAATATAAAAATTTTGCAATAATTTATTAAATGGCATAAATTAGTTTGTGTGTGGCCCTCATAATAAATGAGTCCCATATGACCCTCGGGGGGGGAGGGAGGGAGGGAGGGGAGACCCTCAGTTTGACATGCCTGCTCTAGAGACTACGTGGAAGCTCACTGACGCAGCATCCCCCAAGATTTACACCCATTACTGAGCTATTTGCATGTTATTCCTATTAGTACTGCCGAGTGTCCCCCTCCCTATCCGGCCCGTTGGCGCCGTGAGGGGGGCTTGGTGGTCGGCTGCCGGAGTGTGATGCTCCATGGGACAGGAGCATCAAACTCCGTCTCCCCTAATTTTGCCGGATCGCTTTTCCTTTTCCCTATGTTTCGTTCCTCCCCCACTCTTCTTTCTAATTATTATTTCCTGCCGACATTTTACCATTTTTATTATTCTTTTGGACTTCTATTTTGACGCCCAGGTGTTTGAGGAGGCATACTCTTGCACCCATAGAACTGTAGTACCCGACGTCGAGGGCAAGGGGGAACCTTTTATTGTGAATCCTTATTTCGTCACTGAACCCGATCTCGACGAACTGACGGTTCTTAAGGTGGAGTTTGTGGGGCGTATACTCACGGCACACCCCTGGGGGGGCCCTCGGCATGATTGGCAATAGCTTTTTGTTGGGTGTCCTGACTACTCCCCTCAGCTCCCCTCCCTCTGTGGTTGGGTCGAGCCACAAGCCCCCCCCCCCCAGTGGTGACCACCTCGTCCCCTGGCACGGTTCAGTCTGACTACTGCACCTACTCTCTGGGGGTTCTCAGCACCGTACACGCCACGGCCACACTCGCACGATCCCTTCCCGTACTAATGTGTACCAAGCCTTGTTTGGTCCCACCTCATGGTCCAAATACTTTGATCTACTCTCTCTAGATTCTACATCACCTGACAATTTCTCCCTCCATTAGGCACCTTGTTGATTCAGTAGATGCATGTTACTTTTAACCCTACCCGTCTCGGTACGCGTGTCGTTGCTGCTTCTCCTCAGGAAGCAGCCGCCCGCTTCACTGCCTTATCCTGCTTTGGCGAGACCCCTGTTCGGGTCTCCAAAAATGCTCCGTTCAATGCCCGTCTTGGCAACATGGGGCGGGAGGAGAACAGTGTCACCGGTGTTCAGAATGTACAGGACTGCCACGAAGATATTCGGCATATCCTCGAAGTCCAGGGCCATTCTGATCTCCAGGTAGACACGTTTTCTCGTCCCCCTCGTGGTCGTCGCCGTCAGCCCCTTTGGGTTATGAAGATTACCTTTTATGGTAGGACCCTCCCGCCCTCTGTCATTCTTGCTGGTGCCAGGTGCTCCATCCAGGAGTACATTCCCTCTCCTCGGCTCTGTAATAAGTGCTGGAGGTTTGGGCATGGTGCTCTCCGATGCTCCGGTACTCTCTCTCTGTCCTTTGTGTGGAGACGAAGGTCACTAAGTTGGATTGCTCTTCTCCCAAGGCTCTCTGCCTCAATTGCAATAAGGCCCACCCTGTCTTCTCCTGTGCGTGTATGCATTACAAACTTGAGGCAGTCGTCCTCAACTTAAAGCACCGGGAACGTTTGGCTATTCCCGAGGCGAGGCGCCAAGTTTGCCATCTGCCCCCTTACGCTAACGTCTCTTATGCTTGCATGCAGAGCTTTTCCTCTCCTCATCCATCCCACCTTCCTCCATCTCAACCATTTCCAGGTCTTAGACCCAGACATGCCCACCGCCGCCGCCTCTGTTCCGACGAGTTCTGTCCCGAAGGGTCCTCCTCATGGTTTTCAGTCTGGGGTTCCCCTTCTTTCTGCCCAGTCTGTCATGTCTCCCGTATCGTCTTCCTCATCTCCCTCCGATTGTCCTCCTCCTCCTCCGTCTCTTGGCTCTCCATGCCGGCTGTTTGTGGGGGCTGATATCCATCGCTCTCCCTGTGGTCATCGTGTTTGCCCTTGTTCTACTTCTCCTGCTGAGACGCTTGATTCAGTTGCCCGGTACATTGTTGCCGAGACGCCTGTCTGAGTCAGAAGCGAAAGCCTGGCTCCTCTCCCTCCTCCCCGGCGGCTAAGAAGGCTTTGCTTTCTTCCTCGTCCCCTCCCCCCTCCCCACCTCTGACACTCGTTCCATCCCATCCCGTTTCAGTGGCCGCACCCCTACTCCTGCTATGGAGGTTTCTTTGCGCCCCCCCCCCCCCCCACTTCCCTCTCGGTAGCTGCCCTTGCCGAGGTGTGCTTCCCTCTTTCTGCCCCTCCTTGTTGGATATTTCCAACACCGAATACAGCATTGTTGTATTCTCATTACTTATTACTAACCATACTAAATATTGTATTAAGTAAAATTAACAACTCGTAGAATTCTCATGTACTAATAATTCATCTGTGCATTAGGCTAGAATTCTCACGTCACCTGACGCCAGTATTGCGTCAGATTTTATTACAGTAAACACATTATATTCAATTTGTGAGAGAATTAAATACGATTCTCCATAATTAAAGCATTCTGTATGACAACTGATTGCAGACGAATTGTTCTCTAACTAAAAGCCGAATAGAGCGTTAGAATCATAGCGTCTACCTCGCGATAGAGTTAACGTCATCAATGAATGCCATGGGGAGACATTAATTCCTCTCCCTTATATATTTACTATTCCTAAATCGGTAAATAATAATAATTTCGTTCCTCTAAATAATATACCCGTCCAGTCTTTAAAGTTTCAAGCGCGGAACCGAAAGGAAGCAAAACTGTGCTTACCGTACTCATCAAAAGACGCCATTGTCCAGCAAATAGGACAGGTGTGATCCATCCTCAGATGAAAGCCGCCACTGTGAGGCGTGAATGACCTTGCAGATAATATCTTCAACTAGTGCTGGTGTTAAATAAGGGACCCCTTGACTTGGTTCCTGACGACACGTGATCAGCCAGCTTGAAATGCATCACTATCCAGGATAGGTTCACCGGAGCCTGGGATGCGAAATCACGGCAATCTTAATACTTATACAGTGCCCACAGCTAAGTATTCCTTTATTTGATGCATCATTTACAGGTTTGTTAATAGCAGGGCGATTGTTCGTTACGTCGCGGGATAACACCTAATAACAGGTGATTAGAATTCCATCTGTAGATATTAATATTTTTGAATATGAATTGAGTAGTTAAATCAATTGCTACTGGTAGTTATTTATCTTGCAGCCCGAGAGAAGAATTCCTCCGGCTGCCTCCTCCATGTTAACCCGTACCACTCGTCAGTGTACCGAATCTGGAGAATTAAGAGGACTACTATGGTTATCTAAAGGAATCTGCTTCCAGCTAAGGCTTATTTCTTTTTATCCATTTACTTGCAATTTGATTTATTCAGAATGTTTGATATTTATGTGTGATTTACTGTAACTCATTATTATGCTCATATTCATTTTCTTCTTTATGTGAATGATATTATATTCAGCATTATTTATAGGATTAGATTATTATTAATTGAATTAGTGAACGAACCACACTGATTCCTGGACGTACTTACCTCCAGTAATAACCCCCCAATGTAGGTGTTTGAGGTTTGTTTCTTTAATAATACAGCCCATTAATTATTCTTATGATCATGCTTTCTAGTTATATCCATAGTCACTGGTTTTCTCTAGAATTTTATCCAATGATCTGAAATTCTCAGTTTCCCTCTTTACTATAAAAGCGGGTGGTCCTTCGTAATTTAATTTACTACTTTAATTATTAATTAATCAGAATCAGGCCCAAATATCCCACACTCCTACTACTACTGTCCTTGACTGCCCCTCTCGGTTTTTTTCATCTCTGGACCCTACTCTTCGTCCTCTGGTCTGTTCTCCCGCTCCCTTCCCTCCATCTTTGCTCAGTTTACCCATGCCCCCTAACCCTGACTTTGCTGACCAGTATCCCGACCCTGAGCTTCTTTAACGTGCCGTGTTCCTCTTTCACCTTTGTTGTTTCTTTGTTCTCTGTTGCTATCCTCTCTTTGTTGATGTCTCTTCTTCAGTGAAACATTCGTGGATATTAGGCCAATTTCCTTTAACTCCAATTTCTGATTTCATGGTTTTCGCCCCTTTGTGTCTGTCTCCAGGAGCCGATGCTTAGTGCTCGTCCTGGTCGCTTCCGTGGCCCCTTCTTTCTCTACCCCCCTCCCTCCCCAGCTGTTGCTGGGGTCCGTAACTCTTCTGCTCTTGATTTGCTCTGATGTGCTTTTCGTCCCCTTACTTTTTCCATCACCTCTCCAATGTTCTGCTGCCCGTATCTTTGTGCGTAAATGGTACACTGTTTATTCCATTTATCTTCCCCCAAATGTCCCGCTTTCCCTTCCTGATCTTAAACACCACCTGAACTCCTTGCCGGAGGCTGTGCTCGTGCTAGGAGATTTCAATTGTCATACCCTTTGGGGGTGATGTTCTGACAAGCGGGGTCGCCTTCTCGAACCGTTCATCCTCTCTTCTTCCTTGTCTTCTGAATTCTGGCGAGTCCACTCATTCAGACTCTCGGATTCGCACCCTTTCATGTCTATCTTTCTCTTTGCTCGTCTTCCCTTTACTTTGATTTTGAGTGGTGGGTTCTTGACCTCCATGGCAGTGACCATTTTCCCCATCCTTGTTTCCTTTCTTTTCACCCTCCCCTCTCCTTCCCTAGGTGGCGGTTTGCTGAGGCTCACTGGCCCCTCTTTACCCTGTGTGCTATCTCCGTTTACCCTGTGTGCTTTACTCTTTACTATCTCCGTCCTCTCCATTGTGCCTCTCCCTCGTGCCCTCCGTTCTTACGACACCGTCTTCGACGCTGCCCTCCGCTCTATTCCTCGATCTTCCTCTCGGGGAACGCAGAAGTGCATTCCCTGGTGGAATGTGGACTGTGCTCGGGCTGTCCGCTGTAAGCGTGCAGTCTGGAAGACACCGTCGCCGGCAGACAAAATCTTTTCTTTTGTTTCGGAAGGCAAGTGTGGTGGCCCGTAGGACCTTCCGTATGGCTGAACGTGCACGTTGGATGTCATGTCTCCATGTCAAACTACTCTACCGCTGATCTGGAAGCGTATCTGCAAGATAGCGGATAAGTTCGTTCCCGATGTCTCAGCGGTTTTTCACCTCTGTGGTACTCTTGTCATGCATCCGTTGCAGGTCGCAACTGAATTGGGTTCCCACTTTTCGTCTGTTAGCTCTGGTTCTCATCTCCCTCATTCCTTCCTTCCTTTGTAAGCCTCTTCTTGAATCTCGTCCTTTGGATTTCTGTTCCCATCTTAGCCATCCCTATAACGGTCCCCCCGCTCTCTCTGAGCTTCAGTCTGCCCTGGCCCTCTGCTGTTCTACGGCAGTAGGCTCCGATGGCTAGCTATGCTCCCTAAATAATATTGGCTTGGTATATGGCCATGGGGGAGGGGGGAGGGAGCCTAAGTTTCATTTCTAATTTGTTCCCTATCATAGATTGCATAACAGAAGTTAAGAGTCGACATTCAAGTAATACTGCCACCTAAGCTTACACAAAGAGACCACAGCCTAGTAACATGAAAAATTTACCAACTATATGCTCCTCTACTGCCAAGGCCAGTTTTAGGTCTGCTTTAAGGTTATATTCCAAAGCTTTAATACAGTTGTACAAGCAAAGCACGCATTATGTACTTTTTATCGTGTAGTTTCTTAGAGCAACAGGCTTAAATCTTACGTTCTTCCTTTTGCAGATGACCATTAGTAACGCCGTCCCGAATATAGAAATGAAGAAAGTGTTTGAGTCTCTCACGGAGTTTCCCGATTGGACGTCTAAGTCTCTCTTCAGATGTGCAATCAGGAATCAGATTCAGGCTAAAACTCCTGAATCTGCTGCAACTTTGTACATTTTATCTTCATAATTATAATTCTAATGTTTACAGATCACGAGCATGAAAGAAAACCTTCCATGGATAATGAGGGGGACTACACAATACAAGAGCTTGGATCGATGTTCCTCGACACTTTGTTACAGTAAAAACATTTTAATGAATAAAATAGTACTCTAGTAGGAGTAAACTAGAATTATTTTAAGGTGGATGACAATTATTTTATTAGTAGACTGTATATGAATTCTGCAGCTTCAGGCTAATTGTGATTTTTGTAAAGTCCGCCAGCATGGAACAGATGGACAAAGTAGGAGCTGGATGACAAATGAGCAAGCCATATGATTATATGGGTCTATATTAAGGGGGCATAACATAGGAAAACGAAGTGAAAATTGTTTCAAAATAGTTTGACTAGTTGTATATGAGGAGGGCTCCAACTGGTCCAACTTTGATTATCGCAGCCTAAATAGAAAAGGGGGGGAGGGAATAGCTATTTAAAAAAAAAATCTAAATTTTCAAAAATTAATATGAAACAATTGTCAACTGAAATCATGCCTATGACTTGGCTATCACACTAGCATATAATGAAGGATTTAAATAATTTGTTTATCCAATATACTTTTCGTGAAATCAATTTAAAAAAATGGGATTTGATCAGTCGATTTGCAATTTGTTACAATGATTTGCAATGTAACTTAAACACCTTACTGATGCAAGGTGCCAATTGGCACCCATGCCTGTCTGTATGGGTGCCAATTCTGGAGGAAATTGGTTGATCAACCTCGGCTACAGGTGGCAGAATCTTTGACTTCATTGTTTTTCAAGTTAATCATTTACAACATAAAAGGTGACTGCTCATTTATAAATCAATTTACATGAAACTTAAACCTTATATGTAGGGTTTATGCCTTTACAGTTTGAAGTTTTATTTTTTCGTAGGTCCACTTATTGTTTTATAAATAATTATAAACATGATATTGTTGTATAATTAAACAGGGGATTTTTATTTTTTTATTAATAAAACTAAACATTTTGGATAATAATTATAATACAAAACCTTTATCATATGCTCTTGTGATAGCCGAGTGTCAAAAATTATTTAATTTGACACTTGTGTTTGTCGAGTGAGTCGTTATGAAAAAGTTGAAAATTCATTCTTAAATTTTTTTTTCCTCCCTTTCTATTTAGGCTGCGATGCTGTAACTGACCAGTTGGAGCCCTTTTCATGTACAACTAGTCAATAAATATTGATTGAAGTAGAAAATTTAGTGGAGTATGTTATGCCCCTCCCTTTAAGAGCAGATAAGATTGAACAAATCCACAAAAAATTGTGTAAAACCCCGGTTTGTGTCCGAGAGGCTGCGGGATGCGTGAGAGCAGCAGCACTCCCTGTTGCAATTCTTACACCATGTCATGGCGGAGTTTAATAAGGCGCGTCTGGGATCATCCTGGATTCAAGTTCGAACCCTCATCACAGCCCTTGTGGATTTGTTCTTTTATATAAAATGCTATTCAAGCTATTGTGATCTGTGTGTATAGCAGATAAGATTCTTGGCACTTACCAACTTTTAAATCTATATCTACTGAAGCTTATGAAGCATGAAAGGAAGATTTTTGGACTGGCAGATTCATAAACCTCAACCTTGAGAGAAGTTCTTTCATGTTAAGCAGACCACAAAAATGAGGAAAGGGATGTTGCCTCAATGCTGGATTTGATCTTCACCAGCAAAGACACATTTGACATTCAGTATCTTCCTCCCTTGGGTAGGGAGGAAACGTATTGTAAAACCTACAGGCAGGAAATTAAAGAAACTTCTTATGTAGCTGTAGGAGCTCTTAACACTAGTGTTAAGACTGGTATTTACCCGGTTCCTAACTTATAAATGGTATCGCTTATATTCTGTATTATTAAATTGTTATGTTAATAGGCATCAATACCAGGAAGTTATATTGCATCATTATTACATTCCATTATCATTTGTGGTACTGTCATTATGATAAGCTGTACAGTGGAACCTACGTTTACGAATGCCCTGGACTACAAATTTTTTGGTATACGAAGTCAATTTCCTCATAATATTCAACTTGGTGTACGATGTTTGCCTCTGAATACGAGCGTCTGTCGATACATGTTTATCTAACGTTCTGCCGGGCACGGGGCGAGGCGAGGCACGTTCAGTTTACTAGTCACTAGGCGAACGAGGCGTGGTGAAATTCAAGTGACTTCCGCACTTGAATTCGTTGTGAACCATAGTTTCTGCTTTTTTGGTGTCTGAACAAGTTATATATCGCATCATGGGTCCCAAGAAAGTCAGTGGTAAAGTTCAACCTAAGCAAATGGTTGCGAGGAGAGAATAGTTTACACTAATACACAACGACTGCTATCTACTTATTTGACAACCGTCTTCATTAGATCAAACCAATAGACGCCTTTAGCTGAAGGCGTACTACAAACCAACGAATCCCCACACCTACCTAAATGATTCCAGCCTCCCGCTGGGACTATAGGCATCCCTACCGTACTCACTAGGTCTCTGCCCAAGGAATACAGAGCAGTGTTCAACACTGAACCCCCAGCTACAGTACCTTTGGGACATGTGTAGTATCCCCTCCGGGTAACCTCTGTCCCTAAACGACGCCCAGGTGAAACAAAGCGGCAAAACAAGGACCCATCTCCTCGAACAGCCGACCCCGAGAACAGAAGATGGATCCTCCCCACTTAGTTCTTCCCAGGCCTAGCAAGACAACTAAAGGAAAAGATGTTTGTAGTCTGGTCTTTGATGAAGGACCAGTACTAGGACCACCCGTCCTGGCAGCTTTTCCCCAAGAGACCCACCCATGATGGCTTGGACGAGGGATAAATCATTAGGACCACCTCGTCCCAGCAGGCCCGAGGCAGGAAATCCAGCCCTATCACCAAGGAAGACAGGAACACACACACACAGCCCACCCATCCTAACCTGACAGTGGAGTTACACCACCTCCCATGTCTTAGTGAAGATCAAGCATTGGTCAAACCTGAAACCTGCAAACCTAACCTAGATAACCTAACCTGACCTTATTTGTCCCCAGATACACAGGGCAACCAACCAATCAGCCCTAACCCACCGTATGAGTAATACTCCCTTCACGAGGTTCAGCAGAGTCCGAGGAGGGGTTAGAAAAGCTCCATGCGCCTCACAAACTGTACCCAGTTTACGTGTATTTAAATGTTTCTAGTTTTTTTGCATTCAATGTAATACTGGTAAGAGAGGTGGGCTTATTTACCTAATTCATAGTAATTTGAAACGGCCCCCCCTCCCCCCCCCCCCCCCAAAAAATTAAAGCTTTTAGAAACGTAGTAACATGACGCTGCAACAGTCACGCCCAAAGCGTGACAACTCAACGTGCCCACCCACAGTCTCAACGCGCCCACCACGGACACTTCACTCAACAATATAGGGAGAACGGAGTACATAACAGTGTGCCTCCAGCCAGGAGGAGGATGAGGAGCGGGTCAGGATGTACTCGTCCTGCTTTTTGACACAGGCCTAGGCCTAAGGTTTAGTCTTTAGTGCGCCTGACAGACAGTCCCTAACAGTTAGTCAGGCCCTAACAGTCAGGCCCTAACAGTTTGGGCGTGATTGTTAGGCTAGGCCCTAAGGCCCAATGCGTCAACCATATGCCCAGTGTCTCAACGCACCCACCGCACGCCCACAGTCTCAACGCGCCCACTGCGGACATTACACTCAACCATGTAGGGAGAGTGTACATAACACAGTGTGCGCCTCCAGCCAGAGGAGGTGGGTGGTGGTCAGGACCCTTGGCAAGCTAACAGCTTCCTGTCCTCGTTGCCACCATTAGTGCGCTCATTATTATTACTAGCAGTACCCGGCCACGTGTTGCTGTGGCTCAGCAACGCGTGCTCGTTGCTGAGCCACAGCAACCTTCCCTGTCCCCCAGTCCTCCCCACAATTTCCCTCACCCCGTCTCCTCGTCCTCCCCACCATTCCCCACTCCACCATCCCCTCTTCCTTCCCACCATGCCCCCCCCTGTCCCTTTGTCCTCCCCACCATTCTCCATTCCCCCATCCCCTCGTCCCCACTATCCCAAACTCCCCCGTCCCCTCCCTTGTCTCCTCATCCTCCCCACCATCTCGCTTCCATCCCCTTGTCATCCCCACTCCCTCGTCCGATGCCTTCCCAAATGGTCTGATGTTCCCATCAGAAAATTGGGAACATTAAGTGATCTGATGTTCCCATCACTGAAATAAGAAAAACAGCTAAAAATTAAATGAAAAAAATATACATACTCACAAAATGAACGATATTGTAAACACAGCTCAATTACAACGCAATTTACACAATTAAATCAAAATGAAAATAAATCAAAATCTATGAAAATTCAATTTATCAATGCAATCAGAAACATTGAAATGGAGATGTAACATTTAGTATAGCATGTGTGTGTTGCTCTTTCATGCAACAGATGGCGCTGTTTTTCAAGAAAAACATAGTTTTACCTGTCACAGGTGAGGCATCTATATTTATAATTACGAAATGAACGGTATGGTAAACAACACAGCTCAATTCCAACAATGTCACAAAAAATAATTCAATAAAAACTAAAAGTCGAAACCTATGAATATAAAATTTATCAATGCAATCAAAAACATTGAAGTGGAATTCGTGACATTTAGTATAGCATGCATGTTGGTATTATGTGCAACAGATGACGCTGTTTTTCAATAACACGTTTTTACCTGTCACAGGGGTGGCATCTATATAGTAGGTATATAAAAAGATGCGCTTATTCGAATGGAACGTTGTCAAAATTTCAAAGCAATCGGTGAAGAACTTTTGGAGATTACAGCGTGAGTTGCCCTTACGTCCAACAGATGGCACTTTTTTCACAGAAAAAGCATGTTTCTTCCTGTCACAGGCGAGGCACGTATATAGTAGATATATAAAAAGACGCGCCTATTCGAATGCAACGTTGTGTCAAATTTTAAAGCAATCAGTACAGAGGTTTCGA